CAGCAGGCATAGCAGGAGGCAAGGGAGGCAAATACTAGCCTCTGGTGCGGAGCCGCAAACATGCCACTTCTACAAGGAGGGAGCTGAGGTCAGGGTGGTGGTGAATAGCCCTTCCCCCTCGTTGAACTCCTTTTATAGCCTTGTGTTCATAACGCACAGCACTGAAGAAGAGTGCAGGATCCATGCTTTCTGACAGAGATGGCTGGCTTGCAGATAACCAGGACAGTTGAAAAGCAGCTGGAAACCTAGTAGGATGCCCATGGAATGATGAGATTGAGAAAACTGCATCATGAAACGTTGTACCTGCACCATGTGGCATTGCAAACCCTTCCCAAAACACCCTGTGGCCAGTTGCACAGTGGGATAGCTACCCACAGTGCACTGCTCTCTGTGCTGATGCAAGAGCTGCTACTGTGGATGCGCTCTGCCAACACCAGGAGCATCGTGTGGACATGCAACAGCAGTTTAATTACAGCGGTGGTTGGATGTCAATGTAACTTAAGTCAACTTATCTCTGTACTGTAGACATAGCCTTAGTCTCATCATTTCTAATTATCACTAGATTTGTCTGAGACAAAATAATTCCTCCCCTCCTTGTTATTTACATCCTCCAGCTACTTGTAGACTTGTGGACACCCCTTCTAACCTTTCCTCATCAGTCATTTCCTCATCAGTCATTTTTGTTCCTCTTCTCTGAGCTCTCTTCACTCTTTCTGGTAGTGAAGAGGCCAGAAGTGAACACATTAATCCACTATCACTGAAGCACTATAATGAGGGAGCGTTGTATTCTGTTCCTTGGTCACTATACCTCAAAACAGAATGCCCCAAAGCCCTTTTTACAGACATCTTGCATTGCAATCTCATGTCTACTTGCCATCCACTAGGATTCCCAAATCTCTTTCAGAATTACTGTTTTCTCACTTCTTCCTTCTACCAAATCTTTGTGACTCACATTTTTCCTCACATTTTATTTCCTTCTTTTTTCTAATGTAAGGAGCTTGGTATCACTGCTCTGTACTCATTAATGCTGGCAATTCCATGACATTTTGTAGCACCATTTATGTTACGATAGCACCTAGAGGTCCAATCAAGCTCCCATCACGCTAAGTGCTGTACAAACAGCAAAGGAAGTCCCTCCCTCAGAGAGCTTACCATTTAATTAAGACAATTCGCAAAAATGGATATACACATATGAAGGAATAGGGAGGAGGATAATAAGAACGTGCATTTACACAGGCCAGGTATGTGCACAGCTTGAAGGTTCTGCGTAAGAGTAGAGAAAAGAAGCAGTAAAAAGCCTCATCTCATAGACCAGTGTGTGACCAGTTAAAGTTATACTCTAAAAAGGGCATTGTGAGGATTGATGTTAACTTAGTCAATAATTCTATACTAAATTTATGTAGTTTAAAGGTTATGCAGAAAGTGGTTTACTGGCAGCACCGAAAACTCAAACTAGTATCTGAAAAGACTTTTACACCTCACCAGAAGTACATCCAGTGAAAACTTAGTTGACAAATTCTGCTGATGAAGAAACTAGAGGAGAATCCAGCTCCCACAGAAAAGTTGGAACTGCCTGACTAAAGGAAGTGAAGATATTTTGGCCAAGTAAGCAAGCAACTATGACTGAACACATAGAGGAAGCAGATGGGCTGAACAAATCTAATCTATACAGTCACTCTTTTGTTATTACTTGCTTTGAGGAATTTCACAATTCCCAACCCCACCTAGTACGTTTCTGCATGTATTAAGCTGCAGTGCTTAAGACCAGATACTGTCTATGAGCCAAGATATGCTTCCCATGCTATCTTAGGTACAACACCCTGGGTCTTTGTCTATACTGCAAGTGAAGGTGTGACTGTAGCATGAGTAGGCATACCCGTACCACCTTAAATCTAGCTAGCATGGATAACAAGAGTAGTGTACATGTGGTGGCATGGGCTTCAGCAGAGGCTAGTGTCCAAGTATGTACCCAGGGTCCACACATGTATGCTCAGGTTTTTAGCCCTTGCTGAGCCCATGTCACCACATCTACACTGTTACTGTTACCCAGGCTAGCATGGGTATGCCAACCTTTGCTACAATCACACCTTCACTTGCAGTGCAGACATACATCCAAGTGCTTCTCTGCTCCTGGAATGACAGTAATCATTTCTGAAATGTCTCCCCTCCTAGAAAGGCATCTTTATACAGGCTTTTAAAGCAACCTTATCAGAGAGAGTTTAACGCAATTCTTCACCCAAAATGTTTAGACTGGCCAGTGCTAATTTTATAAGCAAAAGAGATAAGATTCTTGGTTGGCTTTGTGGATAATTCATTTCAGTCCCCAACTCCCATCTTCATCTTCCCAATAATTAAACCAAATCAGCAGGGCTCAGTGTGACTAGGAGCGCTGTTGGCTCTGCAGCAGATGGAGCAGAAACAAAGACAACAAGTATGTGGTTGCTGGACCTCTGCCATGGCTTAATCAACAAAAACATGCACTCATTTTATTTACGAGGAAATATGTTTTATGATGGACACGTGTTGTTTGGAAAACTTCTTAGGAGGAACTGCACAGTGCTGGAAATCTAATTTTAAACTTTGTTTAGACAAGGCTTTCCTAAAAAAACAGACAATCAAACTTTTTGACTATAGTTAGCATTCATGAGTTTAGTGAGAACATGAACCCAACAATACAGCCAGAGAGGCTAAACAGCTGCAGTGCCAATATAGCACTTGTTGGTTCAGATATAGAACAAGAGCAACCTTAACTGGTTTAAAGAGTCATTGTATTTTAACAATGGTGTGCTACTCTTCCTAGCACAGGGACATGTTATGCACATAGATGCTATAACAAAGTACAATGCAATATCTATGCAATATGGAGAAGCAAATGTCATACAAAGTGGTCGTTGTGTTTATATTAGCAGTGGTAACCTACCTATTATTAGTGTTACTTAAACAATGATACTGCCTGTAAAAAAGCAAGTTATATCAACAATGAACATATACAATGGGCCCAATTCTGTTCCCATATATAGGCTGGTGTCCGCCTGAAGTAATGCCACTTAAGTGGGTGGAGTATCAAGTGAGATAATAATCACTTCCTGTGATTATAAAGCAGCACTTCAGTGCACAAGAATATTCTGGTACTGTAATGCAAACAAAGGTTCAGAAATTAAACAGTTACTATCTGAGTTGTGCAGATTTCACCTCTATGGCCTCATGTAATTGTGGGTATGTCTATTCTCAAAGCTAGGGATGTGATTCTCAGCTCGCACAGACATACTCATGCTAGCTCTCATCAAGTTAGAGTGCTAAAAATAGCGTAGCCAGGAAAGCACAGGCAGTGGTGAGAGGCAGCAGAGGCTAGCTGCCCCAAGTACAAACCAGCCTGGACCCCATGCATATGTACTCGGGTGGCTAGCCCATGCCCCTGCTCCCCACTGCCTGTGCTACCACAGCCACACTACTATTTTTAATACACTAGCTCGATCAGAGCTGGCGCGAGTATGTCTACACAAGCTGCGAATCAAACCCATAGCTCCAAATGCAGACGTACCCTGAAACTGCTTGCAGGTACCAGTGTCTGTAGATAGGCAGAAACAACAGTTACTTTCACACGAATGACAAGTGGGGGGTGGGGGGAAATACTGACAGTGGGCCTGGTGTACAGTTGTAATATAAATTTGCCTAATCACTGGACTAATGTGCCTATACAGAAGTGGTTTTAAGTATGAACAAATAAAATCCCTTTTGACTTTAAATTAATATAGATACAAAAGAGCCTTGATCACTTTATAGGGGGAAAAAGTGCAGCCCCTTTACCAGAGTGGTATTCACTCCCTTGGGCAGAAGGCTGAGGCTTACACTGCTCTGATCAGAAACACAACACACGGGGGAGCAGACATGAAGAAACAGGAAAAGCAGCTTTATAAGGACATATTTACACTTGCTATTTCAGTAAGTTTCCCAGTGCAGACAAACCCTATGGAACACTGCTCATTCTGAAGACTGACTTCAGCAAGTCACAAATTCAGTCAGTCAGTCAGTCAGCACTCAGGGTTTCATGTCGCTGGTTCAATCAGAGTAAGATTATTGGTCCATCAAGTTCTACATCCTTCCTCCAGCAGGGACCAATACCTTGTGCTTCAGTGGAAAAGCAAAGCCCACAAGGCACCTGGTCAACTGTGCAATGTTGTATATGGATGGAAGCCATCTCCCCCTGGCCACATGCAGGAGTCAGCTTATACCTTGAATCACCAAAGGCTTTGGCTCCTGCAGGATCTTAAAGTCTGACCAGTATCTGCAATGGGATGCAGAATCTTAATTCAAATTTTTAAAAAGTGCAAAACAAAAAGGGGCAAAGAAATCTCCCTATTCCCACATTTAAAAAAATACCATTTATAAAATAAACATGATTCTCCAGAATGTGTTATAATGGGATAACCATACTTCTTAAGTACCACTCTAACTTTAGTCAGGCACTTCACAACAGACTTTTAGCTTGCAGTTATCCTGTTTAACCCATGTCCTGCAGCGGGCAATTGCATTGAGCACATCATCAGTAATAAGAGGATTCCACTACTGGTTACATCTGGGCCTCGTTGCCATTAAAACAATATAGAACATTAAAAAAAATTATTTACTGTGACATAAGCATCAAGAGTTTCATGGCTTGAACTGCTACTTCATGGTCCTTGTCCAGAGTCATGGACACAATTCGATCCTAATGGATGTAAAATGACAATAAAAAGATGTAACACTTTTTGGTCTGGACAAATATTTATTTTGCTACCGTTAGATCATCTCCACTAGTAACAAAGAGACTTCTTTGTATTGCAATGACTATTTCCTAAGAGGCATAAGGCAATTTGCTTACCACCAAGTTGTTCCATCATTATGTTACATTTTTATTTGAGTTAATTGACTAATATGAAATTTGTGTAGATGCAAGTGTGTCTCCACAAGAAACTGACTGCAGCTCACAAATTAAGAATGATTGGCCACTTGTTTGTAAATGAAGGACAATTAGTAACAATTTGCTAAATCAGGGTAAGTTCTAAGTTACAATGTTACATAAATAATTTCTCTACTCAAATGTGAAAATATTCTGGAAGCCATAACCCTGCTAAAAAGGTAAATAGATTTTGGATCACGTGGCTGTTTAACAACGTACAGCAATACTACACAGATTAGGGCAGAAGTACAGAGGGCTGCTGTAAAACTGTTCAAAATATGGGCTGAGTTTAGATAGGCAGAATTTATTTACTCAGATTGAAACTTGGCTAAAACATGAGAATTATGAGCCTCCTCTTTCAGAAAGTGCCATGGGATTTTTAGTTACTATGAAGAGCCACGTCCTTGGTTTTACATGACATCCAAAAGACTGTATCTGCAGGCCTCAGCAGAAGAGTATGCACTAATTGGGGCATTGGTTCAGTCCTCCAAAGGAAGAGTGCCACCTATGGAGTCATAATACCACTTCCTGCAGCACCGTGGGTTTTCTTATCCAAGTACTGACAAGGCCCAACCCTGGCTAGCTAGTGACAGTTGATGACATCACAACCAAAGGTAACATTACAAAGTAGAGTGCTGACTGCCTGAACTAGCCTGTACATGACAACATGATTAGTGCAGTGTATTAGGGACACAATGGCCTCTGCTCAGCTCACCCAACAGATGCTCAAAAGCTATCCATTTACTGCCTAGCATTTGACTTGTTCAGACTGGGGTTAGGAAATCTTTCTGCAAGGTTCACAGCGTCATGCTGGATCAAAACAGAGTCATACTGTACATTCTGATAGCAGTCTATGCAGAATCACCCAATTCAACATCTAACATACAAACCCAGTTTTGAGGGGGATAAAGGAACACAAGGGGCTTTGGGATGCCCAATACTCCTTGCCAAAAGAATCCTGGCCAAGTGGCTGGACATGGCTGTCTGCAGAGCCTGCCAACACAGCTTTGTTCATTGGCCAAAGCAAAAACAGAATGTTCTCATGAATGAAGAGCAACATCCCACAAACTCCCCCACCCAACAATCCTGGCCCATATAAGGGACCGAGAGCCAAGTCTGCTCAACATATCAGATCCTGTGTGGCAAGCCAAACCAGATTTTAAAAATAGAGAATGGTATTTCCATTTACCTTGAATCTGCTAGTAAAGAGATCCATTTTGGATACCAGCTCTTTTCTGTCATAAATTCCTTGCAGTCCCAGAAGACACTTCAACCGCACTTCAGGTTGCTATAAGACAAAGAAGAATCTGCTAAGTGACAAATCTTTGGCATTGATGTTATTTACTGATGATTTGGTGGTCATCCTATGGTAATTGGAGCCCTATAAATGCCTACGATAGAAAAAGCAAAAACTGCCTCAATCTCCATTACCAGACAGATCTACAGTTATGTCACATATGCCTAATAGCATACAAGGGCCAAACTGAGAGGTGATCTCTAAGCTCATGTTACACTCCCACAGAACTTACAACCAATTACCAGTGGGAGTGCAAGGAGTCCACGATCATGTAATTCCAATGCCCAGGGTGTCAGAAGCTGAAAGTTGGGGGTGGCCGCCTTATATCCTTCCGCTATTTGTTTTTCTTGCAACACTTTCCTCAGATATGAGTTAAACCAACTTAGAGTCTCTTACAGCCCCAAGACTCAGTGGGCCAAATTCAGAGATAAAATGTAAGCATGTTATACAATACTAAACTAGTCTAAGTCAGAATGAGGGAGTTTGGGTTGACGCTGGGGCACCCAGTGAAGGTTTTATGTTACACCATCTAGACTCCCTCATGCCAAGTCTACATTGAGAAATTACGTCAGATAAAAACACTCACAGTAGCCAAGGGCTGCCCTGTTTGACACATCACATCGACTGGCTGTGACTAATCCTAGAATCCCCTCTATTCCCTCCTAGGGTATATTCCCACAACCTGCTGACATGTTGGTAAACACAACAGTCCTTACCTACCCTGAGTGCTAAGACACATCTGAGCGCATGTTGGTTAAAATGTGTTCTAACATGATACAATTTTCCAGTGTAGACAAGTCCTCAGGCTCCCTTCTGTGTTTGGCTAACAAATATAGTTGGTTTATACCAAAAATATTTATGGATTTTATAAAGATTTACCTCGTTTGTTTCTCTGTAAGCCAATACTACTATTCACAATGGTTCTACAAAAAGAGTGCCCTTTTCCTGGACTTTGAAATGCCTCAAGTGTAATGCTGCAACTTTAAAAGGTCAAAACCTTTAAGAATATTAAAAGACAGTCATTCTGGGGCTCTAAAGCAGAACTCACTGAGCTCTGCTGAACTCTCATGGCAAAGGGTATCTGCAGAGCCCCTGCAATAAATTACAGCCTTGTATTCACTATCATCTCCTTCATATTATCTTTTTTTTTTTTTTTTTTTTCTATTTCTCCCTCTAACATGGCAGGAAAATAAAAGAAACCCAAGCAGTGCAGATCTCCTGCAAATTGGCTATCCATTACTGCAAACTTCCCATTCTCCTGCTTAAGATGGAACGCAAACGATGTCATGTAGCAGCAGGCTTTGACTAATGAGTCTGTGTAAGGTGCTCTTTAGTTAGAAATATAAAATGAAAGATCACCAAAGAATACGGACACTGATTTTCAAGTTGTCTAATTTATCCTTCTGTACCTTCACATTCATCAGGCACATTTCTTGAACTTTGCTCATCTCTTTAAAATTTAAGGCTCTATTTCCACAGGTGGACTGCTGCACCTGTTGAAGCTTCTTGCAGGATGAGAGCTCAAACTTGTTACTTACCGCTGACTACTATCTAGCATACCACTACTTACCGCTGGCTACTACCTGGCATACCAAAGACAAGAGCTGTGCAAATTTATAAACACACTCAGCAAAACCACTGTACCTCAATCCTGGCTTGAGCCACCCCACACTATTCCATTCCTGGGCTGTAATCCTGAATAGAGACTACATCTATGCTACATTTAAGTTGTGCTGGTTGAGTCAAATGGTCAGATATCAACTGGAGCAGAGGAAAATCATCGTCATTTGCACTTGTCAGTCAGGCAATATTTGAGCACAGGTCTGCAGATAGAAAAAGTTAATTCCTAAAATCATACCACCTGCCTTTCCTAATCTCCCTTCCCACCTCAAATCTCTCAGTCTTAACCCTATATGTATTTTATGTGTTAAGGAAACTACATCTAGGGACTAAGAGTGAACAATCCATTTACCTCCACTACCATTATTTTTATCGTCTTCTTTACATTTCTCGTCTTTGTTTTAAGCCACATTTCCTGCCCCATTTTCCTGTTCCTTAGAGTGAGTGTTTACCCATCCCCCACTGCTTTTTCCATTATTTAAAATTCTTCCCAAATGACCTCAGCAGCTTTTTGCTACAAATAAAGCCCTCTTTTCTTTTCCCTCACCAGAATCACCATTCTAGTCTCTCTGATTCTGCAACAGGAACTTACGGTAGTTTTAAATACTGCTGATCTGTGAAAAGAACCCATCTCACTCTCCCCACAGCACTGCCAAAGTAAAACACTTTTATTTTCAGAGAAGTCAGAGAATAGGACTCAGAATACATGCAGGGAGTAGATATGTTGAATAAGAAGATGGTAGTTTTACAGAGACACTGTTGCAGGATGTACATGTGAACTGTCATGACATCTGGGGGGCAGTTTCCATAGAAGGATGGTCAAACCGCACAGATGCCCTGTCACGGACAACTTCTCAAACTAATTTGAAATTAGACAGCAGAAGGATGATCTTGTGGTTAGCTCCCAGGACTTGATGTCAGGAGGAGATCTGGGCTCTTTTCCCACCTCTGCCACATTTTCCTTGAAAAGCTGCAAGAGAATCATTTCATCTCTGTGCTTCAGTTTCTTCCTCAGTACACAGGGAATCTACCTACTTAGCACTTCTCTAGCATCTTACAGTAGTGGATCTCAAATTAGTTTTGCAAGGCTCACAAGACTGGTTTTATTCTTGAATCTTTTCTTCTGCAATGTGAACACATTTTGTTCCAAGAGAGATTAGATTTTTGTAATTTTTTTTTCTAATGAAAATGCTACATTCTAGAAATAAAAGCATCACACAACTCCCTACACAACTCAAAAGCGAGGCTGACACATGTGAATGTCCCAAGCGTGTGTGTATGTAGTACACCTTTTATTTTCCTTAGAAAATCAGTAATCCTTTCTACTCCTTTCACCTACCCCACCTCTGCTCATCTCAATTTTTCTGCCTCCATCCCTCTCACCTCCCAGAGGATTTTTTTTCCCTGACCCTTTCTTTTCTTCCACATCTAATTGCTCAGATCAATACGTAGGTAGCCAAACATCCACTGTAGGCATCAAAGCGCCACTCTGAGTGTCAAAATGCACAATTAGGTGCTCAAGTTTGAGAAATGGGCTGATAGTTCTTTAGGAAGGGGGTTAACTGTATAGTTATGGTTACTGAATGCTGTTGCCAGATTTTGCATTATACTTTGTACTTAGTATTAAAAAGCAACATTTATTCCTGTCTTCTAGAAATAATTAACTACTGAAGTTGTTCCAGCAGAAAAGTACACCTTCGGGACATTGTTTCACAATTCTTACTGGGACATAGACATTTTTTTATTTTGAACTCGGCACCAGTAAGAGGAATGGATTTGGAGCATCCAGTTGGGCCTGGGAAACATCTTCTATGCCAGCATTAAGTCTGCATTATAAATATATGTCATGTCAAATGGTATCATAAGGGTAAAATAAGTCATAACATTTAACTAAGTCTTTGAAGACCAAATAAGCGTTTAAACCTTTTTTTTCAGCCTCCCAATGACTGACTGAGTTTGGTCTATACTTAGAATGCCACAGGTTATCTGGGCTACATTTTCCTATAGTTGAAAACAATTTTGTGGTTGCTCAAATTTGGGCCCTAAAATTATTTGGCAAATGCCTCTGGAACTATATTCCCAAATGACACTGATCTGGGTACACCCTCCCCCACAAAAATGGGAAGGAATAGCTTGCAGTATATTTTTTAAAGCCAGTACCGCAATGCAATATTGGTATTGTAAATAGTCAACTGGATGGAGATAAAATCCAAAGGCCTTCTCATTTTATCTCACTTAGTTTTTGCTGCAGTGATTGCTTCCAGTTAACAAGCATTTTCTTTTTTTAAAGCAGCTGTTTCCAGTCTCCGGTAAAAGACAGCAGATGGGTTGTGTGCTCTCCAAAAACATCACATTTCTATAATTTTCATATTGTACTCCACTGATAGCAATGTCACATATTCTAAGGAAAAAATGGAAATTCTATTTTTGTAATTTGAAAGATCTCTCAACTGGCCATACCTTAAAAAGTTGCTATGATCTGATCTAAGAAACGTCTCTAGACTCTATGGCTACACCTATACTACATACTACTTTCAGTGCCCTGTAGCACACATCTAGCTACACGCCACAGTGGAAAATGTCCACACTGCAGTGTGTTGCTACACGTCAAAGGAAGGCTCCAGCAGAGGGGAGGCAGCAGGGAAAGGCTTCAGCTTCTCCCCGCTGCCAGAGCCTTTCACTACGATGAGGAAAGGCTGAGCCTTTTCCCCACTGCCCCCCTGCCTCTCTGTGGAGCAGGGCTTCAGCAGCAGGGAGCTGACATAGCCTTTCCCCACTACCAGAGTCTTTTACTGAGGAGGAGAAAGGCTGCAGCAGCAGAACACTACTCTGCTGAAAAAGCAGTGTAAATGGAAGGCACAACTTGGGCCAGTAGCAAATGTGTAGGACACGTACTCGGCTTCATACCCACACCCTTCAGGCACATCTTTATTCTACTGACTTATTCCATGTCTCACCATTTACTCACTCTGCTGTGTATATCCATGGGAGAGGGGTCATGTGGGTATGTATACTACATGCTGCCAAAAGAATCCTGCAACTTAAATGCGCCCTAAAAGTCTTTGTGGGAGAGGGGGTTATTACTGAAAGACGTTTAACCACTGCTTGTATAGTTATAGCATGAAACACAAACAACGTGATTTGTGCGCCCTCTGCTGGCTTTGCAGTTAACTAAAATTCTATTCAAAGAATTATGCGTCATTGTATATAATCCTGATGCAAAAGAAGAGACGTTTTGGCATTTATACAGCAGCTATATAAACTCATTTTATTTATTTTAAAAGATGCCCTACAAAAGCAAAGTACCATTCCCAGTAATAAACCATTCACAGCAAATACTGCCTCTGCCGGCTATTAAGCACACACTGGTAAATTTGAGAAAAATATGTTTACAGATTAACTTTATAAAAAGTTAGACATACTACGTTCATCTCTGCTCTAAAACAGGAAAACTGCTAAACAGAAGAGGACAAAAGCCTTGAGGGTGAGGGGGACAGAAAAGATTATTTGGAAGATTTTAAGAATATAAGAGGTAATTAAAAGAAACGGAACTATAACAAAATAGTTGAGATTTTAAATAATATTCTCCAAATGTTCTTATAGTGCCACTTGTTTTCCAATTCAGAAATAAAGAGTATTATTGTCCCTCCCTATGAAATAATATAATTTAACAAAGTAACAATTGTCAATCTTAAGACATTTTACCCTACCTCTAAAATTGTACATACTCATAGAGGATGTATTCCATGTCGCCATTTAGCAAGGATAGGTTTCAAAGTCAATCTACTCAATAAAGTAAAACATTGCTCGAGGTCACATACATATACATCCAGCAAAGCTCTACATACACACACACACCATGGATCAGTGCCACACAGCTTTGTGCTGAGAATGGATACAAGTAAGAGCGCTCTATTACTTAGTGCTATAAGATGAGTTTTAAAACAAAACATAGTATTGGAGGAGGGGAGACTTTGTCCATGTCAGAATATACAACTCTAAATTGTTTTAACTTTTAGAATAATTTTAAAAATCTTGAACTAACTTTCCTTCTATGGGAGATAAAGGCAGGAGGAGGAGAAAATCCTCACCTTATCATACAGCATCCATCCAATATATTTCAAGTAACTATCATTTAAGAATGTATCAGGGTACATTTTCATCCAGCTGCCAATTTCTTCAATGCAGATAGCCCGGATCTCAGGAATCACATCACTGTAAAATTACAAAACTGTGTTATAAACACATTTATAAATACCCAAAAGATATCAGGTTAATTATTTGCTTTTCCCAGCAAGAGATCAAGAGTTGCAGATATACATGCAATCCTGAGTAGCATCTTAAGTATCCATTCAGTAACTTTTAAACATGTCTTTAATCTACAAAACCCCTACAAAGAATTTGTTAGTGTTTGAAAAAACCCTGTTAACTACACAAGTTCCATATTACAATTATCTTGAGGGTCTGGAAGGTCTTTCAACCATAAACTCATTACTCTGTAGCCAGGGGGAAAAAGCAAACAAAGCAGTGGAGAATGAGTGTACATAATGAGGAGGTTACTTTCTAAGCCTAGGTGGGTTCTTTCAAATAATTCAGTATTATGTGCTTTTTCAGAACAAATTTAACTGACCCATGGATATTCATCTTGATTTTAACCTGGACACTTTGCATGAGATTTTCTTATGGGATGCATGTACACTGTACAGACTTATTTTTATTCCTTTCTATTCTTTTTCAGCAAGGAAAGTTAGATTTTCAACTCATCAGGGAAGGGACAGTGGGCTCCTATGTGTTAGTACAATATGCAGCACACCGGAGTCCAGTCTTGATTACGGCCTGTGGGTGCTATTTCAAAAGCATATGAATGATAAATATTCTTACCGATATCTCTGTAAGAATGTCCCTTTGAAAATAGCATTCATCATATTTTCTATTTCCAGCGGTTTCTGTTCATACTGAAAATACCAAAAAAATTGAACATTCCAAGTATGGAATATGACAAATCCCCTTTATATTACAGGAAATTCATACCAAGTTAGCCACATTCACTTTGTTAAACTGGGTGCAAACCCCTAATGTTTTCACAATTCATCAGTACAAAAAAATGAGCCTGTCTACATTAGGGATTTGATTTGGCGCAACTACATCAAAAAGAAATGTCATTGGATTTCAACTATGAATCCAAGTACTAAGACACTTCACATAATATATTGGTTGAGGAAAAGAACCTTGTTCTAGCAATACACAGAAGGAATAATACATGCCATTACACAACTAGTTTGCATGTGTAGGTCTAAGTTGTCTTTGTAATACACTTGGACATGTTGTAGAAGAAAAGTCAGAAGCTGGGAAACCCCCAGAACACCTCTGGATGAAGTAGTCCAGTGTGCACCTTGACCAAGCCCTGAAAACTTGGTAGAGGTCTTCAGAGACAATAGATCATTTAGTCATAATCTATCATTTCTGTTTAATAAAGATACTATGAAGGTGACAAGTAACTTCACATCCCACCCCACCTTCCCTCTGATTTGCCCAAGAGACCGGGATCAGGAAGCTAACACTTGCCCTGGTCTGTCTCTCCTGTCCTACCCAGCCACCTTTCACAATTTGCCTCTTCTTACAAATACAACGATTGTACCCATGAGGGAGTTCAAAGATGACATCCGAGGTACTTGGTTGCAAGCTCAGTGGGGCAGGGACTCTCTCTCACATTTGTGCAGCAAGAACTATGCCAGCACCTAAAGATAATTTTCCATGGTGCAGGATGCTGCATGGACAGTAGGAGAGTCACAAGAGGCTGTCTGAGTGACAGGGAAGGAATAATGGAGTCTGGGCAGCAGAGGAGAGATGAGCCATAGTTTAAATTGCCATCACATGGCATTTTAAGAATCCTTTGTTCATATAGTGACAAATTCCAATATATTTGGTCAAATTCCAGAGTATAATCTGAGCAAAGACCAAAGAATTTGGCTCATAGTTTGTGGGAGCCCAGTTTTGTGCATGCATGTGTATGAATAGACATGAAAAAATTACCAGATGGGGACAAAAGAGATGCCAATTCACCAGCTAGCCACATCCCAATTTTGAGAGGCTATCATCAAAACAGAGACGTCAAAGAATACTACGCACTCTACTGTTGCATAATGGCTACAGCAAGTAGTAATATGCAGATCAGTTGTGTGCGGCATGGAGTGCCTGTCAGTGTAGCACTGAACCTGGTAAGTGAGAACTGCTTTGCAAGCTATCATTGATGATGCTTAGCAAATATCACCTCCCCCTATTTCAAAAGTGTCAGAAAAACATGTGCAAGTCAGAAGCCAGAAAAGAGCCACCTCTATTACTACATCTTCACCCATCCCAAATAACAAACCTGACCCACTTCTTTCCTTTTTCTCTCTAATTGGTCCAGTCTCTGATTGGCCCTCTTGACAGAAATCCTGTTCTTCTCCACTTGATACAGCCTCTGAGCGTTACATTTGCTGACATCAAGATTTAGATTTACTCTTACAAGTGCTGTCAGAAGCTTCACCGCTGAAAAGGAGGAGAAACCAAGTAAGCAAGCCTTAGCTCAGTGGTACACATTATAAACTATATTCAACATGTTAAAAAACACAAGAGTACTGGTCAACCCCAACCCTGCTGAGGTTGTAAGATCACAATCCAAGGTAAGAGCAGCAAAAAGACAGATGTTGGGGTAATATTTCATTTAAATTTACTACTTGGTTTTGAAACAAAAGGGTTATCAGAAGATGTTTTATTCTACTCCTGGTAATACACTTCTTTGGTCCAGGTGATGTTGCATGTTGCAGATTTCCTCCTTAATCTTGGACAACAATCTAGAGCTATAGGATAAGTGCCTTCCTCAGATGTGAAGAAATACAGTGAAATCAGTGCAAGAGCTCAAGACCCCGTGAGCCAGAGTCTGGTGGTCTTTATGAAACAGTATAAAGTGTGCCTACTTTTATTGATTCAGACCAACAGCTAGATTTCCATTTGTCAGTGGGCAGGGATGGCAAAGGCAAAAAAAGGGGGGGGAGAGGCTGTGCTGTGACCAATTGTTGTCTTTTTTAAAAGTATAAACTCACTTAGATACTGTCATGCTGTGCATGATATGCAAGCCACAAAGGTATTCATTTTAGTAGGGGTATCATAAAAAACCTCTTGAATGACACGTTTCTTAGGACAGGCCTCATAAGTTTTAAGATCCTCCCTTTTATACTAATTATATTCATTCAGTGGGGGTGGAAGGAAAATTAGTGACAGAAAACTAACAGTGAAAAGCAGCTACTGTTTATGCATAACTTCCAGTACACAGCAGAATTCTGAAGTTAATTATCTCAGCTGTTACAAAAGATTTTGCTAAATATTAAAATGTAACTGATCTACTTTACAGATAATCTACATTCCAAGCTTCTCTTCAAACAAGAATGTTGGGGTGCCAGAGATAGTCTTGAACGTATTTTAAATATCTGTGCTTTTCTTAAAGCCAACAAATAGGCTCGTTTGTTAGACTTGGATAGAATTTTGGGTTTGACCTTTAATACTCTTATATTTTATACTAATATGTGTAAACAAAGGACAAAGACTGTGTATGTTGCTTTTACCTAGTCAGATGGGTTTGTTAGTACAATGGGAACAGATAAGAGCAGTTAAAGTGTTACTCGAGAGCACACTTTAAGATTGTTTAAATCCCTATTTTAAGGCAAGGTTATTCAACCAGTCGGGAGGGGCAAAGGGGATTGGGGGGGAAGGTTTAAAACACTAAAAGACAAAAGAAATGCCTGTCCCTGACCGTAGCACAACCTCACCCCTCCCATGGGATACAAAAGAGGTGGGATGAAGACCACAGACCCGCGACCCCCTCCAAATGGCACATTACCATAAATTGTAAGGGGTGGACTGTGGGCATGCACTGCAGGTATATTTGGGCCTGCTAAGGAGGAGGAGGTAGGAATAGGGAATGGGAATGAGACACAGGCAAGGATCTGCAGCGTCAGAGCTGGGAAGGGGGACATGGGGTAAATGCTCTGCGGTGTCAGAGCTGGGAATGGAACACTGGGAAAGAAGACACTGCCAGCGTGTAGCGTTATGGATATGCTTGCTTGGAACTAACCCCAATAAACATCGCATTGCCTGCACCTCGGACTTCTCGTCTTCTGCTTTCTGTCTGCGTGACAACTACCAAGGGAGAGGGTGAAGGGAAAGCCCTCTAACAACACATATATGCAGAAGGAGGTTATTAATACTACCGTAGCATCCATAATGTGCTAAGCACTGTTAACGTACAAAGGAAGACAATTCCTGCCTTGCAACGCTTACAGTCCTTTTTACGTTTGATCAGTTTTGTAAACACACGAGTCACCAAAATCCACAGTCTCTGATGAAAACTGTGACAGCAACGTGAGTTGTATTTACCTGCTAAAGTGCTGGTGTGCCTGAATGCTCTGACCCTGGAATCTGCTAGCCCTGTAAGCAGTGAGATGACTGTGTCCATCAAGTAACTATCATAGAGGATGCTGTACTGGCACTGCTGGATTAACACTGCAGTGAACTCACAGAAATTGGCCTTGAACTTCTTCCAGTAGGGTCCCGCTTTGATGAGTGGATAGTCTCCATTGTCCTTTATTAGAAGGAAAAAATAATTATAAAAACTGAATGTCTCATTTACTTTTCATTTGTACTGCTTGTTTACTACCTGCATTTCTCCCACCTGAAACAGTGAAGAAACATGTCCAAATTTCAGTTTGGTTTCAAGTGAGAGTCTCATCAGTGCCACATGGAGTTACTCATGTTCTAGAAAGTCCTGATGCTAACCTTTACCACCATCAATGGGCTGCAGCCTGACCATCTTAGAACTCACTGTGACATTCCCCAGAGTGCAATCTGAACTGCTGGACTTCTGTGTCCATTTAGCTCTCCAGCCTGGGATGCCTTTTACACCGCTTTGCTGGTGAACAGCAACCCCTCCAGGCTCTGCTCACACATACCCACTCACACGTAAAATCACTCCCAGATAAATACATGAAAGCCCAGTCCCAGCCTTGATCCCCCAAAATGTGTGTCTTGTACTGCTCAGTAGCCTCCTGGACAGTACAAGTTCATAGATAGTTTGTCATTCCAACACTGGGTAATGATTACGCACCAACCTTGTTGACCTAAATAGAAATTTCAAAACACTTCAACCAAAACGCACTGGTTTAGATAAAACAATAAAACAAGTTTATTAACTAGAGAAAGAGATTTTAAGCGATTACAAGTGATAAGGCCTAGAAGTCAGAATTGGTTACAAAAGAAAAAAGAATAAACACACAATAAAATTCCTAAACGTTACCAAGGCTAATAGGTTTAAAGGCAAAAAAGGAATTTCTCTCACCACAAGCTTACAGCAGTCTATAATGGCTAAATAAAAACCCGGCCAGAACCACTCCCCCAGTTCAATGATGCTTCTTTTGTCTTTCAAGTGATCTAGCTACCACCAGTCGAAATGGAGGGGAAGAGGTGATGTGGAGGTCACTGTCTCTTATTTTTATATCCTCCTCTCTTTGAGGATTTACCCCTTTTCCCCCCTCCGGGGTGTAGACACACAGTCCCCTGTGTATATCAGATTTGTACCATCTCTGGGATGAAATGTAAGTTTCTTGTTTATACCTTCTCCCCAGCTGGTGAATGGCCAGTTAAGTAGGTCAGAGCTTTTTAACAGCTTGCTGGTGTGCCAGTGGGTCTTTGTCTCTGAAAAAATGGTTTGTGGGCGTTACCCAGAACAACAACATATTTCAGTAACAATCATAGAGCAAAATCTCAATTTTATACACATTTCAACAGGATAATAATATTCAGCGGATTATAAATGTTCAAATTATACCTCATAGGGCATACTTTGTACACAGTATATCATAACCCTATAAAAGTGATGAACGTGGGTGTCACATGGGGTACAGGGTGTAACATTCACTTCTTCCCACAATCCAGTAGATAGCTGCAGTCAAGAGGGACACTGTGGCTAATTGAGAGTAAAACTCACAGGGGCGTGGCAATCTATTATGGAACTCTACCATTGCAGAGCAGAGAAACACAAATCATGCCATGGTTAGGATACAATGTAAGACTTTCTGCATACAGTGCATGCAAGCCTTCCTTGAACACCCCTCTTTCCTGGAGACATAACAAGAAAACCAATTCTAAGAAAGAGGAACAGATGATGGAGGGCCTGGTCCTTTGGGATGGAATTGCGAATATCTGTGTACACCTCACTATGGCAATGGGCACATTACAACAATATATATAGCACAATGCTGCAAGCTATTTCTGATATCGAACATCGAAGATAAATAGTTTTTGTTTTTATACATCCTACTGCAATTTTCTTTTTAAAGTTGCAGAAATCTCTATTTGTCTTTAATTTTGTAAAGGATTATTTTAACGAAACCTAAACTTTGAGCCAAATTTCACTTGACATTGGCCCTTCCAAAATATTATCTAAAGAAAATATTTTTTTAAGGGTGTGCCTGGGGAGAACACACACATAAGGAAAGCCAAGTAGGCTAGTGGGGTGATGGAAGAAAGCACAGTTGGATACTGTTCTAGATCGACACATTCCATTCAAACAGATGTTTGAACACCATATGCCTACTGTATCTCACATAGGGCTCAATCCTGCAAGGTAATGAGCATTTTCAACTCTTGTAAAGCCATTGTGTGCTCAGGTTCTTGATAAATGGGGTCCATCATACATCAAGAACATTTATTTATTTAAAGCAATGCTAGTCACACAGCCAACACTACTGCACTTGATTTTCCCCACTGTACCATTGGACTGCACCATTAAGTACAATTTTCACATATATGCAGCATTTGAAATCTTTAATTCCAGGATATTCAAGAAATGCAGCTATTTACCATGTCCACTGGCCAAGTAACAGTCAGAATCCAGGGATAGGCCATAAATTTCTTGTATTGCAATCCTGTTTCCTAGAATGCAAGAGACAACATTATAAAAGCTTCTGATGAAACTGAAGAAGTGATTCTGAAAGATTTTACATACATAAAAGTACCAATTGTGTATCATGTTTTAAGATGTCATTTAAACTTGAGACTGTATACACACATGCACACAATCTAATCCCCTTTTATTTGGCTTGTTTTTAGCTAAAACCAATGTGTACTTCAGTAAAAGACATATGCAGTTTTCATCTAAAAACTGGTACTCTTGTAATAACAAGTAGTTAGTGCCAAGTTTCATTTAAACATCATGTACTGAAGTGTGCAAGCTATAATCTTTACTGTTTATTCTGAGAGACAGCATCTGCTTCTCCCTTAGAAATTTAAATATGTATCAATCTGCAACATTCAGTTATTTGCTATTGTGAAATAGCTGACCCCCAGGAAATGTCCCAATTCAAGGGTAGGCAAATATGTTCACGTTTTCAAGTCAGGGCAAGCCATATTTCAAAAACCTAACAGCTTAATCAGTCAATCCCAGTTTCACATGAATTTAGGCATTCTTTGGGGGATTATCATCTTTAAAAATATAGCTAAATTATATTTTGAAAATTCACCACACTCTGGATTCCAATGTCCTTTAGACAAGGCAAAACCCTCATTGATTACTGTGCATTTCAAATTGCGCTGAAAAGCACATCCGTGGTGGATCTGAAATGATTTAAACTTGTTTTAATGTTTTCAATCACATTGTATTTTGAAGTTGCTGGGCAGCCCCCTGTGCACTTTGCTGGCAAGAGAAAGTGAGCATTTTAGCCCTAATCCTGCAAACACTTGCTCACATGCTTAACTTTACTATCATTAATAGTCCCATCATTTCAGTGATTTAACAAACTGCTTAACATTGTCCCCGTCCTCAGACGTGTTATCACGTTGAAATCTTTTCTCCATTTCAATGGGACTACTCAAGGTAGCAAAGATAAACATACGTGTAATGCCATGGGAACACTACAGACTTCACATGGCATAGCTATGTCAGTCAGGAGCATGAAGAAGTGTGATTCCCCAATACAGCTGTGCCAGCAGAAGCTTCTGCCATGCGTCTGACGAATTGGGTATTCACCCACGAAAGCTTATGCTCCAATACGTCTGTTAGTCTATAAGGTGCCACAGGACTCTTTGTCGCTCTGTCATAGATGTTGCTAGAATGCAAAGCTGTGCTTTTACTAGTATAGCTTGTTTCACCCGAGGGGGGGTGGGGATTACTATATTAGAGCAAAGTGCAGCTTTGCTAGTATAGCTGCACCAAACTAGGAGTGTTCTGACAGTACAGAATACTGGTATTCCTGTGCTGGTGAAGTGTTCCTCTTGTTGGCATGGCCTAGGTGTTTGCCAGATCAGGGTCATTATAAAGTAAAGCACAGTATTCACTCCAGGACAGTAAAAGGTCTCAAATCCAAGATGGATAAAGTCAGACTTTTCAATTTACTGTTATCTGAGAACAGGGGCTTATGGAGGGATACGAATAAGATGAGGGTGGCAAACTAACTCAGAGAGCAAGCTTGGAAAAAAGCACTCAGAGGACTGTGAGATAGGTGGCAAAAGAGAGTGGAAGTTGGCCTCATTAGCCAGGCAAGAGTGAGGGGTGAAGGTGGCACTTTAAAGATACAGTTTTCTAATAAACTTCAGGGAATAAAATATCCTCTCTGGACCATGATCGGACATCATTAATGCATATTATTATTGCTCTCACATCAAAAGAACAGCAATGTAAATTGATATCAACAAAATGGGAAGGGAAAACAGTTTAAGTTCCAACTGACAACTAGTTTCAACAGCTCCCCATCCATCCACATTATGTATTTTTAAAGGCACCTATCAACAAGGTACCAAAGCATCATGTTACCCGCAGCCATGCCAGACTGTATTTTTCATTATTAGAACATCTTAAGAGGAAAAATACTATGCCCCCATTTTATTTATTTTTATTGAAGAACAGCTAGATGCAAGACTTGGGAAGGACGCAGGGAAGCATTACGAAAACACTGAAGACAGGAATACTCTCTGTTTCAGCGACTGCTTCTCATTCCAGATGTGCATAAAACCTTTCCTACAGGGGAAGAAAGAGGGAATGTAGGCTTCAATGAGCGAGAGAGAGGTACTAGAAAACGAACAGTATTATCCAATTTTCATATTAATAGCTATTGCTTATTTAAATGAGCCATATGAAGCCATCATTTCATGTTGCAATTACCTCATCAAATGTCTCCGTCATTTTTTGCATTACATCATTGTTGCACAAACTTTGGAACATCTCAGCTGTCACCATTCCTAGATAGATGAAATTGAAATATTTTGTAATTAAATGGAAATACTTTACCATACCATATATTAAAATTTCAAAAATAATAAAGTCCGTACTATAGTTGTGGCTTTGACCTAAATCCGTAAGTGCCAAAAAAAGTAACCCAAACTGTTCTACTTGTTTTTGCATTAGTGCAGGTTGACAAATAAATAGGTTATTTGCAGCTGATAACAGTGCACCAACATTCATCTTCAGCAGAGGGGCGGGTTCAGTTTGGTGTCAAACGGACACCAATTTCTGTTTGTTCATCCACTTGTATACCTTAAATTCCTGCGTTGGCAATATTTTATGATAGAGGTGCTTAATAAGCCATTTAATAGAACAGACTTTGTTCTGTTCACTGAAGCAGATACAGTCTACAAGATTCCAACCTGTATATCCAGAGGATATGGGAAACAGACTATGTTGCCATTTGTTCTGTAGTTGTAGCACCAGAAACTAAGCGTGGTGCATACAATTCAGTACTTGAAAGGGAGATCACTAAGGAACAACTGGATGCTGCAGAAAGTAACGTTGGTGCTTCAATGGATGGCACCATTTCCTCCGAATCACGGCTAAAGAAACACCTCAATATGGTATAAAGCAACACTGTGCTGCGGAAGGTGCTAGATTTCAGATGAGATGTGAAACTCTTATTCATTGATGATCATGGGTCCCATGTCACTTTTCATAAGAGCAGGGGTATTAGTTCCTGCTCAAGGAGAAATTTCAGCTGCAGAAGTTATATTCTATATTGTATTCTTCTTCACTTCCGATTTGTGACTCTGAAGCTTTCAGCTAGCCACCAAGTTGTCTCTAATAGAAGTTATCTGCTTTGGAAATAATTATTACTTAGACTCACGATCACCCTGTAGCAAGTAGATAGAAGGAAGAGAGACACATTGTTCCTCAAACAACTGAAATGTGAGACTCAATTTGCTAGTACTTGTAAAGTACTTTCAGAGCCTCAGATAAAAATACCAGGTGAGTGCAAACTAGTATTCTGAAATCAACAAAAAACTTGAACACTCATGAAAAATATTTTTCTCAAAAATCAGTGATTTTGTAAAGATGTGTGGACATGTTTCAGAGTATTAGAGTGCTTGTTACACAAGAAGGTTGAACCTGCAGCCATTATATGCATATAATGCTCAATAAAGTTAAGGGGAGTTGTGTGCCCAAAGGCTGAAGAATCTGGCCACTGACATCCTCCATCATTAATCTTGATATGTCTAGAGCCCATTAAAACAAACAATCCACTTCTGTATAAGTGATCTATTATAAAGGCAATTTCTGTCCAGAAGAAACTGTCCAGCAAAAGGAGATGCCTATTGTGACACTCTGTATCTTGGGGGAACACCCTGCACCCCCATGTTCAGCCTTATAATATGATTGTGTTATCCAATGCAAAGTTTGTCATGTTGGGTGTCTTCGGAAGGCTCATGATGCACTGAGCATTGTTGTTATAGTAATGTTATGTTACAGGTTATAATTTCATGTATGTAGTTATGAGGCTGAAAATGTATCCTCATGGCTTAAAACAAGTCCAGGCAAAACTCTCTAGGAACAAAGGGGCAGTTCACACCTCATCAGGGCAAGTATGGGACAAACCCAGCCCAGCCTCACAGGAACAAAGGACTCTGTCCGAGGCAGCAAAAAAGGATCTGTTGAACTCTCAAGTGAGTCACCCCCGTTCCCTTGGTCAATCAGGGACTACGATGAGGTAATGCTCACCTGACTCTGGGGGGGGGGACAAAGCCAAGAGGGAAGAAAGAACGTGATAAAAGGGAGAGACATTTGCCATGCTCTTCCGCTCTCTTCCACCTCCATCTACAGACCTCACCACCAAGTGACTGAAGCGCTGATCGAAGGGGAGAGTCTGGCTGAAGGGCAACCAGCCAGCCGGTGGTGAGAAGCATCTAAGTTTGTAAGGGCACCGAAAGTATTAAGATCAGATTATAATGCGTTTTGCTTTTATTTCATTTGACCAAATCTGACTTCTTGTTCTTTGATTTATAATCACTTAAAATCTATCTTTTGTAGTTAATACATTTGTTTGTTTATTCTACCTGAAGCAGTGTGTTTGGTTTGAAGTGTGTCAGAGACTCCCCTGGGGATAGCAAGCCTGATGCATATCAATTTCTTTGTTAAATTCGCAAACTCATATAAGCTTGCAGCATCCAGCAGGCATAACTGGACACTGCAAGACGGAGATACCTAGGGTTGTGTCTGGGACCGGAGATATTGGCTAGTGTCATTTGGTTGTACAATCCAAGCAGCTTACATGCCAGAGGCTGTGCATGAACAGCCCAGGAGTGGGGGTTCTCACAGCAGAGCAGGGTAAGGCTGGCTCCCAGAGTCAACGATTGGTGTGACCTAGCAGATCACCGATCCAGATAACACCAGGGGAACATCACACCTATATGATACTGAATTACCTTGACAGCCTGAGCACTGAATGTAGAAGTTGATCAGATCTAGAAGTGCCACATCTCGATCTTGGATATAAGCTTCAACCCAGTCATCTACCACAGACTAAAACAGATTACGGAAGAAGAAAAAAAAACAGTGATCAAAAGCTAAACAAGGTGTGATATGCTCCAGCCTGGGAAATTCTTAATATAGTATGTCTTACACTATTCTGTCACTAATAGTTATAAAAAATAGATATCCGGAATAAGTTGTCCACCATTTGGTTATGTCCACAACAGAGAATCCACCATCACCCTTGCTAAATTGTTCCAATGTTTAAATTACTCTCACTGGTATGAATGACAATGAAGAGTCACTGGGCTAGGGAGAGTGAGAATGATGCTTTAGCCTGGCGGTTAGGACTCTCACTTAGGATGTGGAAGATTCAAGCCCAAACCCTATTCCTGGGCCTGCATTCAGTGAAACAGCTTCAACAGAAGAGCCTGAGACCCCTTTCCACATACCAGAATATCCTACAGCTCTGTGGGTAGGACCCTGACTTGAGAGGTGGGAGATTTGGAGAATGGATTTGAACCTGAATCAGACAGAGGGGGAAACTGAACCCTGGTCTCCTACACTGCAGGTGAGTGACAAACACTGGGCAAAAAGTTATAAGGAAAGTAGCACCACCACCTTCCCACCCCATTTTGTGAAGCTAGACCTGTAAGAAAAAGCTATAAACATGTCTTTCGATCCAAAATGGATTTTTTTTGATTTGGACAAAAAAAAAAAAAAACACAATTTTCAGATTTAGTTAAACCCAAACCAAAAAATGTTTCCAATTTTTTCTAAGGCCAGTGAACAGAATGTAGTTTATTTGCCCAGCTCTAACTGTAAATTTAAAAAGTGGTGACCCTAAAGCCCTGATTTTGCAAGATGATTAACCTGCGTAGACTCTATGCCTGAAGCCGCCCACTGAAGTTAATGAGGGTCTTCATGGGAACAGAGGTTCACCTTCACGAAGCACTTTGAAAGACTAGGGCCTACAGTCCAGAATATATATTAATTTAAAAAGGTGTGGGGGAAGCACTTCTTTGATTTCATAAGGATTTCTTCAGCACAGAAGCAACTTACTGACTATACAGGGAAACTAGGTTTTGAAAAATCAGACGCCTTTTTAGGTGCTTAAATATTGCTTTTAGAGCCTGGCTTTAGGCACCTTTTGTTTGGAAATCCCTACCCAAGTTTTCTAACTCACTTCTTTCACAATTACAGTACCCTTGTTACTTGTAAGTCTAGGAGTCAAAAAAAATTTCACACAAGTGTCATTTTTCAAATTGACTGGATAACAAAGACTACATGAAGACTCAACAGATTTCAAAATTAAACCAGAAATTCTTGAGATGTAATTAATAGAAATCATTATGTGCCCATTTCCCCTCCCAGCAGATAGAATGTTAATTCAGTCCAGGATCTGAAAGTACCTGCATTGCCCTCTTGCCCATGCTGACCACTTCAAACAATGTAACTGCTTCAACCACTTCTCCATTCTGCGGCTGGCTTGGCCTTCTGCTCCTGGAAGAATTTCTTCGTATGCGTGCACACTGTTCTTGGACCTTCCTTTTCCCTCTCTAAAATCATTCAAGAGAAGATGTGTAACCATAAGACAACTAATGGCCAGCCAGACAAATGCAGGCTCCCTGGATGTACAGTGTTCTGTCCTCTAGCAATATGTGCCTGTTACTCCCATTACAACATTTCCCCAGGATTTCATAGAAGATATGTGTAAATGTTGTCTCACTGCGAGTGTAGGGTGACCAGAGAGCAAGTGTGAAAAATTGGGACGGGGGAGGGTGTTATAGATTCCTATAGAAGAAAATGCCCCAAATATTGGGACTGTCCCTATAAAATAGGGACATCTGGTCACTCTATGCCAGTGGCAAGGAACTATCAAGTAAGGCAGTATGGGGATGGGATAAAGAAGAGGATATGCCAGGTGAAGCTTCCTTTTGCAAGAACATCCTTAAGTAGGAGAACATAACTGATGAGCAGCTGCCAAGTGGTTGCCTCTAAAAGGGCATGGAGCAACGATAGTTATTTCTGAATGAGGGTTTGGTAAACAAACATGGAGGCTTGCCTACTTGCTTGCAGGATAAGCACTGCATTGGCATTAATGTCAGCTGCACATATTGTGCATTTAAGGAGGCTTATATCCCAAAGAGGGTTGCCAACCCTTCAGGATTGTCCTGGACTCTCCAGGAATTAAAGATTAATCTTTCATTAAAGATTATGTCATCTGATGAAACCTCCAGGAATATGTCCAACCACAGTTGGCAACCCTAATCCCAAAGTGACTTGATTGTGGCTCCTGATGCCAACAGAATTTTGGATCAAACTAGCCAGGGAACGAGAGGTGAGAGGCTCTTTATCCCCATTGTCAATGCCATGCAATATCCCACCCACTTTCATCTTATTCTGTGTAACAGCCTACCAATGTATATAATGAAAGCATGAACTCACTGGGGTTTGCAAGTTGCCATTCCTCAGACAGCTGCCACTCTGTACAGTGGACTCAGGCACAGTCTCATCATGGATAGCATTTTCTCTGAAGCACAATAAACAGAAAATATTGAAGGGTATATAGGACTTCTCCTGGGAACAAACTGATCTGCACCCAAATCACAGATTTTCAATGTCTCCACAACAGGCCAAGTGGATTTCAGAGCACAGGAAGTTAAATATTAAGGGGTCAACATTTAGGAGGAAGATAATCTGCATGTTGGATTTTGAAGCCGTTTGATTAATCTGCTATGAAATGACATCTTTTCTCAGCATTTTCCACAATGAACAATATGCTTTCGCAAAGGCCATTTCTAAGCGGTCTTAAATGAACTCATTGCCTACCAGCAGACAAGGAAAGATGGGAGAAAAGTTAATAGGTACGGTAACCACTTTTCATTCTATAATTATGCCTAATTTGAAATTAACTTTTAATCATAAAGAATAGGGAATCCAATTATTTTTCACAACTAAGAAAAGTGACTACTTAATGGGGAACAACATTCATGGAGAATATCACACCAGTGACAAAGTCACTATCAGTGGTATGTGACAAGAGTCCCATCAAAAGTATCTGAAATTTTCAAGATTCATGGATTTTTTAAGGCCAGACGGGACCATTAAATCATCTAGTCTAACTTCTTGTGCCATGGGCCACAGACTTTCATCCAGTTACTCCTGTATTAAGTGCAATAAAATACAACAGTAAAGCTTACTGACTTGTTAATTTCCTTAGAACCCCTACATGGAGCAAATTTGCACCCTGCTCCTTCAACTAACTCTGCAGTCTGCAGAACAAACCCCTGAAATTGCATAGAGGCAGTTGAAGAATTGAGGGTCCAGTGTATTTTATTGGTGATAATAAATGGCAGGTTTTGTTGAAACACTTAAATTTACTTTTGGACCTACTGGGCTGCTCAGTATCAGCAGAATTAGGACCTCAATGACTGTCACATAGTTTAAGTATCATTCTGCATAACACCCATGTCCTATAAACATTTATGCACGGGCTTAAGTGAAAAGAAGAACAGGAGGACTTGTGGCACCTTAGAGACTAACAAATTTATTAGAGCATAA